TGCCTGTTGCAGCTGTGACTTCCACCAGTTCCAGAGACTACTCTCTCACATTTGGTGCCATCAACCAAACATTGTCCTACCGCATCCACCAGAACATCACTTACCAGGCGTGCAGGCATGTCCCCAGACACCCGGGCGTCCCCACCACCCAGCAGCTCAATGTGGACCGCATATTTGCTTTGTACAACGATGAAGAAAAAGTGCTTAGATTTGCGGTGACTAATCAGATTGGCCCTGTTGAAGGTACAGTTTCCTTTTTTGTTGTTTTTGGGCAAAAATTCTATCTAACCTTCTTTCTTAATTCCTTTTGGAGTAGCCTTAGAATGATTCACAGAGGTCATTAAGGGTTATGTGCTGGGTGTAAAGATGAATAAAGCCTGTCCTTCAGATGGATAGAGGCAGAAATGGAACTTTTAGAACAGTATCCTTGCCAAGTTCAGGAATAGAGCATAATATGTGAGGCTAGTTTGTAGCAATAATCATGTGTGCCAGTCTATATTAGGGATACAACTGGGAACAAGGTGGGGCCAGGTAAGGAGGGAGAATAAGGCTGACAAGTATTTGTTATAATTGTGATAAGTATAGGAAACTATAAGACTAGCCTGGAGGTTCAGGAAAGATGTCCCCAAAGAAGTGACATTTTAGCTAAAACTTAAAGGATGGAAAGGATTTCATCAAATCAAGGTGGGCCAAAAAGCCAGTGCCGAAAACAAACAAACAAAAAAAAAACTGCATGTATGAAAAACCCCCAGTTAACATTACACTTGATGAGGAAAGGCAGGATGCTTTCCCTCTAAAATCAGGAACAAGACAAAGATACCTGCTCTTTTATTCAACACTGTATTGTAAGTTCTAGCCGGGACAGTTAGGCAAGAAAATGAAATAAAAGGCATTGGAAAGAAAGAAGTAAAATTATCTCTAGTCTCATATGACAGGTATGTAGAAAATCTAAGAAATTCATTAAAAAACTATTAGAACTAGTAAATTCAGCAAGGTTGCAGGATACAAGATCAATATACAAAAAGTAATTGGATTTCTACATAGTAGCAATGAGCAAACTGAAAAGGAAATTAAGAAAACAATTTCATTTTAGAAAGAATGGAATATTTAGGAATAAATTTTTAAAAAGAAGTGCAATACTTTTACATTGAAATCTAGAAAAGGTTTTTTTAAAAAATTAAAGAAGACCTCAATAAATGGGAAAACATTCCATGTTCATGAACCAAAAAACATAATATTGTAGAGATATTGCAATGCTTCCTAAATTGCTCAATAAATTCAACACAATTCTGTCAGCTGGCTTTTTGCAAACATTGACAGGCTGATCGTAAATTTCACATGGAAATTTAAGGAACCCCGGATAGCCAAAACAATCTTGAAAAAGAACAAAGTTGGAGAACTCATACTTCTTGATTTCAAAACTTAAGAGTAATCAAGACAGTGTGGTCTTGGCGTAAGGATAGACATACAGATCAATGGAGTAGAAGTGAGACTCCAGAAGTAAACACTCACATTTACTGTTAATTGATTTTTGACAAGGGTGCCAAAACAATTCAATGAGGAGAAAGTCTAGTCTTTTTAAAAAAATGGTTCTGGGACAACTGGATAGCCACATGTAAAAGAGTGAAGCTGGACCTCTCTACCTCACACCATTTACAAAAATTGACTCAAAATGGGTCAACGTCCTTAATGTTAGAGCTAATGTTTTAGAAAAAATATAGGGGTGAATTTTTGTGACCTTGAATTTGGCAATGGCTTCTTAGTGATACTAAAAGCACAAGCAACAAAAGAATAAATAAATTGGGTGTCATTAAAATTAAAAACTTTTGTGCTTTAGAGGATATTATCAAAAAAGAAAATATCTGTAAATTATATACTTAGTAAGGGACTTATATCTGGAATATATGAAGAGTTCTTACAGCTCAATAATAAAAAGACAAATAATCTAAGTAAAAGATAGACAAAATTTTTGGATAGATATTTCTCTGAAGAAGATAGGCAAATATCCAACAAGCACATAAAAAGATGCTGAACATCATTAGTCATCAGGGAAATGTAAAATCAAATCCATAGTGAAATACTACTTTACATGGATGTAGATGGCTATAATTTTTTTTAAAAAAGATAATTTTTTGTAAGGCTGTGGAGAAATTAAAACCCTCATACATTACTGGTGTGAGTGTAAAATGATGTAGCTATTTTGGAAAGGAGTCTAGCTGTTTCTCAAAAAGTTAAACACATAGTTAGAATTTGACTGAGCAGTTCAACTCCTAGCTATACACTCAAGAGGAATGAAAATACATGTCCACACAAAAACTTGTACATGATATTCATAACAGCATTATTCATAATAGCCAAAAGGTGGAAACAACCCAAATGTTCATCAATTGATGAATGGATTTTTAAAATATCACATATCCATACAATGGAATATTATTAAACATAAAAATGAATAAAGTACTGATACATATTACAATAAGAACAAACTTTGAAAACACACTGAGTGAAGGTAACTAGTCACAAAAAATAACATATTGTGAGATCCCATCTACATGAAATGCCCAGACTGGGCAAATGCACAGAGACAGAAGTAGATTAGTGGTTGCTGAGGGCTGGGGAAGAAAAGGGGAGTGGGGAGTTGATAACTAAAGGGTACAATGATTCTTTGGAGAGGGGAGGGGTTTAAAAGATTCTAAAATTGATTGTGGTGATGGTTGCACACTGTGAATATACTAAAAACTGTTGTGCATTTTAAATTTGTCTTATTTTTTTCATTTCCATGGAATGTGTACTTTGGATGGATGAATTGTATGGTATGTGAATTATATCTCCATTTAAAAAGAAAACAAACAGCTGTGGGGGAAAACCAAAACTTGGAAGTAGTGGTTTTCATACTTTAGTCACGTGAGCCTCACCTGTGAAGCTTGATAAAAATGCAGATAAAAGTGTTCTAGGCCTATCAAAACATCAGAGGACATGAGGAACCTTACGTACATATTACTAAGTGAAAGAAGCCAGTCTGAAAAGGCCACAATACTGTGTGATTCTAACAATATATGACCTTCTCAAAAAGGTAAAACTAGAGAGACAGTAAAAAGATCAGTATTTGCCAGGTGTTTAAGGGGAGAGAGGTGAGGGATGAATAGGTGAAGCACCAGGGGGTTTTTAGGGCAGTGAAACTACTCTGTATGATACTGTAATGGTGGATACGTGTCATTACATGTTTGTCAAAACCTGTAGAATGGTATAACACCAAGAGTGAGCCCGAGTGTAAACTATGGCCTTTAGTTAATAATCTATCAATATTGCTTTATCAGTTATAACAAATGTACCACATTAATGCATGATGTTAATAATAGGGGAAGCTGTGTGCAAATTGGGGGGGTGGGCTATGGAAACTGTACTTTCTGCTCTTTTTTTTTTTGTAAACTTAAAACTTCTAAAAAATAATCTAATTTAAAAAAGAAACAAACAACAATAGCAAAAAAAAAAAAAAGAAAAGAAAAGAAAAAAGTCTAGGCAAGCCAGAGGATGAGTCTGTGAAGTCAGGGAACTCTACAGACAGGAAATGCCCTTGTCAGATCAAGGGGACATTTTCATTCTAAAAACCACTAGGTAGTGTTTTCCCCTAGAATGCAGGAGGCACCTGAGGAGAAAGGGAATGTCTCCCTCATTCAGCTCCATGTTGACACCACTGAGCCTTGAGTCGGTGCCTCTGAGAGGTGATTCTGTAAGTCACAGGTGAGTCTGTGACTTATCATTGGAGAGGAGGCCTCCTTAAGCCTCCTCAAGGCCCCATATGCCAGTGTCACTTCAGCAATATGATAGCAAGAGATTAAGGTAAAAGGAGTAGACTGTCCTCTTGAAATGAGGATGCAGAAGTGACGTGAAATGAGAATCCTGAGTTTGCTGGCTTGCGGAAGTTGTTGGTTTGGTTTTAGGAAACGTGGTTGGGGGCATAGGCATTGGGCGTCCAAAGATGGGTTCATAAGGTAGGGAATTAATAGCACGGAAGTGTCAGTTGATTTTAGAGAAACGTGTATATCAGCAGGAGGGAAAAGATTATTATTGCTGGTTTCTCACGGAGAGATTTAAAGAAAAACAACTGGGGAAATCATCCTTCACCATGGAAAACATCCCTCAAATGTCCAGTTCAGCCCTTCACTGGGCGTAGTCGTCTGATCTGTAAAAACAGCGATTAGTGGAGGAGCCTTCCAGGCCACAGAGTCCCATTCAGATGCTGAAATCATTTAGAGAAAAGATAGATCTCTGGGTATATTTTTCCCAGAGACACACCAAATGAAAGTAACAAGGATCAGAGAAAGCCAACAAAAACCTGGCAGGTACCAAGTTGCTTATTTGTCTTTAGAATTTTATGACTCTCCTTTCCACCCCACGTCTAATACTAA